GTGCATATATTGTACACTTAGTTAGCACATACAGTATACACACATACATGGTATTCTCTTTACCTTCATCCCTCCCACCCCAACCTTAAATTTAACTGTTAAACTACAACCCCCCTACCACATCACCAAGAGTAAGCATGCAATTTCCTAGATATTTTTTACTGCTGCTTTTGCTTAGTAAAAAGTGGCATGACATGCAAGATGCCTCCACACAGTGCATAACCTTTATCTGATAACAAATTTACTGCCCACTTTTTAAAAGAAAAATAGATAAAACATTTCTTTAATTAAAGAGCTGCAATTCAGTTAGAGTAACTCATGTCCTATGGAAATGTTATCAGCCTTGACTTATGCAAGGCTGCAAGGGCAGACAGTTGTACTGGAGAAACACCTGGGTGATACCTACAGTCTTTAAAACATCTAACTGATACTGTCTCAGACAGCTGCTTGCCCTACTACTTTCTAGATATGCCCCTGCTCAAGTGTGGCAGGAATATCCCTCCTTGTGCAAATAAAACACTAATCAAATGCCTGCTAAACATCCAATGTCACGCTATGCAATTTTCAAATCATCAAGCATTTACTTATAATAAAGTCAGTTATTCTTGTATCCATTGTACTGTTACCTGACGCAGATTCCTGGTTACTTTCACATCATGCCAGGCATTGTCATTAAATTTCCCATTCACAGGTTCCACCAGCGCTTCAAAGGCCCCTGAGCCCAAATTAATGACCAAGGAGACAGCTCCATTTTTCAGTGCAAGATTGACATAATCAGCCGATTTTCCTGTGTGAAGCATCAGTCCGTTCCTCTGAAGTGTTTTAAATGACAGAGTTATTTCATCACTGCTACTCTGTATGGGATTCTGAGATAAATCATAGCAGAAGTATTCTGATCCCTTGAACGTCGCAATATATTCTTCTTTTCCTGACAAACGAAAGGAGAGAAACAAACAAATAAATTACTGGCACATAATTAAAAGCAACTTGCATGAATTATTTTCAGAGCTAATTCAACAGTATTATTGTAAGCACTATATCAAAAATTCATTTAAAACACTTAAAATCCATGAAGAAAAAAGATAACTAAGATTTACTGTGAACGTATTTTAAACTATTTTCTTACAGAATTTTCAAAAGTATGATTAAACTCAGAAAATATACTGCATCAGCAATCATATTAATGTCATTTAAGCAGTCTGATCTAGAACACACCTAAGTACAAAACATTTCAGTGAATGTGCAAAACCAAAGCATTATTCCAGTCAAAATCCAGATCTTTTCCTTCCCAACTCTCACTAAAATCACGGCATCTCAAAAAGAATCAGTAACCTAGATATCTCAAAGTTCTTTGGCCTAAGGTCTTGAATAAACCAAAACTACAAACCACTTATTTAAGAATCTACCTCAGTCAAACCTACACAGAGCAAGAGCACCTGCACAGAACAAGTCAACATGCATCAGTGAACAATTAGGTTTTTTCCAGGATGTACTTTTACTAGCTAGTGTGTGCCTTACAGGTTATTTTCTTAGTTTATCCCGAAGGTGACTAAGGAACACAAATAGCAGAAGCTAAGCTTTCAGTCTCATCAGAAAAACAAGTATAACATATACAGAGATTATGTTTTGCTCCTGAAGTCCTACAGATGAACACATACACTGACCTTACACTACATGAGTACAGGGTTCAGAGCTATATGAAGTCAGGATTTATTTGTTTAGCTAATAATAAGCACTAGTAAAATTTCAATGGAAACTTGCACATGTTAGTGCAGTGCAGTGCAAGATGAAGGTATGAAAACCTGAGGATGTCAAATTTCATCATTCTTGAGAATAAAGTCAGTCTCCTGAACACAGCTGAGTACATTAGTCTATGATACCATCAGCACAAACCCCAAACATATGTATAAATATATAGATAAAGGGAAATATCAACAGTGTGAATTTAAGAGACCAGTGAATGACAGAGCATGCAAAAAGCATGTTGTGAGAGCACATTTTTTTGAAAAGTCCCTGGGCATATCTGTCTTTTGTTGTTCCATGTCATCTGCTTACAACCCCCTGCAGTAGATTATACGTTAACACTGATGCTAAATATTTGCAATGCTTCTCTTCAAATAGAGCACAGTAAGTTCAGATAGTACTGCAAAGTAACTTCAGATAGAACTCCAGACAGCAATTGCATTTTGGCTTAACTTTGCTTTCTAATAAGAATATCTAAAACTATTGGTCTGTACTTATTTTGAAGTGCTATCTGACAGATTTGATGCAGAATTCTTTGGATTTTACTTTTTTCTGTGGCAGCAGCTGAATCACACTATATAAAAAAAACCCACAAAGTGACTGTTTATCTAATATGCTCTATATACAGCCCAAAGCAAGCTTCCCCAGTACCTTACCACAAATGAAAGAAATCAGTTTGTAACATGAAATCCACAGCTGGATTTGACAGCTTAAGCCTATTTTGCAAATAAACACTTTAAAAAAAATTAAAAAATCACCTCTCTGAGCAGGCTTAAGGATGCTTTTCCCTGCTATCTGTTGATAAAACCTCTAACAAAACACAAACAAAACCAAACAAAAATCCCCAGTCTCCAGTTTCAGATTAAGCAATGTTCCTCTATTACAACAAGCAGCTGATCACACACACCACACAGACTACTTCTTGTACTGGCCATTCATCATACACAATAAATATGTCATAGGAGCATAGGCATCATCATAACGTGCTACATCCTAACTAGACTTCTGTAGGGCTACAATATCTAGACAGCTGGTACCTCCATGGACAAACCCAATCACCTTTCTAGGGAGGAACTCATAAATACTCAGTCAGGCTTATGAGTACAAGTGGTTGCGTGGTGAGAAAAACTCCAGCATAACTGGTGTCTCACTCTCCCAGTTTCAGGAGATCAAGAGTCTTGAGATTTTTATTTTAATTATTTTTTTAACATGAAATTCCATTCTGGACAAAAATTACATTCTTAGAGGTGTTCAGTCTAATGCTTACTATGGAGACAAAAGCAGTTAAAAAGTAAGTCTGGTATTTTATCACCAGATCACTTTTATCCAGCATAAATTTTTGACACCTAGGACAAATTTTACCCTTTGTTGAACTTGATTGAGATATGAGCTAGATTCCATGTGCATGACTGAGGCCAAAAATTAGCTTATTTAATCTGTCCAAAAGTCTTTATTTTTTACCTTTGACTTTACCAATAAAGAAGCAAGAAAACACCTGTTTATTCTGCTTATAACCTTTCCTAGTCCATCAGGAACAGCAGGTCAAGAGACACTGCAGCTTGCACTAAGGACACACAGGAATTACTGTATCCATTCTCCAGGTCTTAACCTTCCAAATCAGTTCTGCACGCAGAACAACACAACACCAATAGCGACGCGTCCTGGACCCTGATGTGTTTTGGTAGAGGAGGAAAACGGCTCATTCTGCATAAAGGATTTACAAACAAGGCAGGTTTTGGGGTTTCAATGCACTAAGCAACAGACTGCATGAATACCATTCATCTCATTTAATGAATATTTAATAAAAGCATAAAATACTCAAGAGCAAATTTATTTCGTATGGATGCTTACTGCAAAGCCATACTAAAACAGCACGAATAACTACAATGGACAGATGATAAAACTGAAATGCAGCAACTTGGTATGCATAGTTTTGTCCCATGTATTTAATGACTATAACACAAAAAGCTGAAGGACATAAATGAATCAGCATGCAAAATATTTATGTATACATATTATGTACTGTAAGCTACCTCTGTAAAACCAGATCATTTACACAGACACGAAAGTGCATGGCAGGCACATATTTTTTAAAATTGTTCCTAAAGAGGGGCCTGAAGAAGCAAGCAGGAACGTTCATTGAAGCAAAATTATAACCTCGGGCTGTAAATTGAGCCACAATTTACACAGACTTGAAAAAGCCTTTAGGGTTGGGTTGACCTTGGCCAGCTGCCCACCCAGCCACCCTCTCACTCCCCCTTCTCAACAGGGCAGGGAGACAAAATAAGATGAAAAAGCTTCTGGGTCAAGATACAGGCAGGGAAATCACTTACTGTTTACCATCAGAGGCAAAACAGAATCAACTTGGGGAAAATTAATTTATTGCAGTTAAAATAGTTTGGAATGGTGAGAAACCTAATTGAAAACACCTTCCTGCCATCGCTTTTTCCCCAGACTCAACTTCATTCCTGTCGCTCCTTCATTCCCAGCTCCTCTACCTCTCCACACCCTGAGCTGCCAAGGGAGATGGCAGCTTTTCCCCATGCTCCAGCATGGGTCTTTCCCATGCAGTCCTTCAGGATGAGCCCGCTCCTGTGTGGGGTCTCCACAGGTCACGGATCCTTCAAGATCTCCACCCTCCTAGTGTGGGGTCCTCCATGGGCTGCAGTGTGGATACCTGCTCCCCCATGGTCTCCTCTCCGTGGGCTGCAGGGGAATCTCTGCTCAGTGCCTGCAGCACCTCCTCCCTCTACTCCTCCTCTCACCTTGGTGCTCACAGGGCTGTTTCTTACACTTTTCTTCCTCGCTGCCATGTGGTGTTTTACCCTTCCTTACCCAGGCTTTCCCAGTGACACCCCAATCGTGGCTGAGGGGCTCAGCTATGCCCCACAGTGGGTCTGCATGGGGCAGCTCCCAACACCTCACCAGACACCCACTATAAAGGCTGACATTTCTATTATGTCTATCACTCCATAAATGTAAGTACCCAAGTCTAAAACTTTTTGACTTAATTGCATTTTCCTTGAGGAAGAAAAATAAAAGGCTAATTCAGCAACCCTAACCTCTTCCTGGGAGAAAACTAAAACAAAACCATGCAAAACTAAACAACAAACAAAAAACCAGCTTGATTTGTCATTGGAAAGATGAAGTCAGCATCACTGTGACTGGAAAAACATCTATTTCATATGGATCCCACTGGATGGCCCTTTGGGAAAACCAATAATAGCAAACTCTGACTTCTTCTGCAGCATCTTCTTTAACCAGTGCTATACACCCTACAGCATTTGCTTTTCATTTTTCAACTCTTTCTGATTCCTTTTAGCTTCAATAATAAGGTCTGTGATACTTGGTAATGTCACCGAAAAACTATCAGTAACTGATATGACAGTTAATAATCTTCATATGATGTACCTAAACAAGCATTAGATAAGCTGTAGTTCTTCCCTCCACATAACTGGCACATGAGCTGATCAAAATCAACTTGTTTATGAAGCTTCCCCCAAGTGTGGGGGGGTGAGTGTTGAGACCCCATTTAGGGCATTTCTGGAAAGAATTAATGAATCTGGAATTTAATTTAATCACTAATTTTAGCAACAAAACTCTATTAAAAGTTTGACTCTGAAGTTTTAGGAGTTGAGCCAGCAAGTTATGCTGAAGCATTCAATTTTTAAACAAATCAGTTCGCATCAAACTAGTATTCATTTGTTTAAAATTTGACTTTAAACTAGAAAAAAATAAAGCCAAAACTGAGCATAACATTTTACTTCAGAAAAATATTTTGACTGAAAAACCTGAACACTGTGGATAAAACCTTTAATTGCCTACTTTTCCTGCCAACTATTTTTTTTGCTCACCTGCCAAACCAAAAATGTCCATTATTCACTATTTTTACATTGTAAGATTGAGCTTCAAGTATTCAGAACTCATTGCAATACAAGGATACAGACCCTGTACCAGGACTGCATTAGGGTAGGATGCTAGTGCATGAGAGCACTAACACTCATCAGGTAGGTCACATCCACACTTCAGAAAACTGGGAGAGGTTCTGATCTCACAACAGTACACCCATGAGCTGCAGAGTCTGGAGATGAACCCTCCCCTCTGTGGGATTTGAGACAATATCACCACCCAAACTTCCAGTTGTGCAACTATGGGCACCCTGATGCCATGAATGGCATCATTCCT